GCACCACGTCATCCCCCCTTCGCCATCACCTCTGCTCCGACCCCTCGCCCCGCGTCCATGCCCACTCCTGCACACCCCGCGTGCTTCCGAGGCCCCCATCCGAAGCTCTGCAGCGTTCCCAGTTCAGCCTCCAGCGAAGCTGCGCAAGGGCCGAGGAGGAGGAGGAGGAGGAGGAGGAGGCTCTGGCACAGACGGCAGCCAGATGAGCTGCTGGTCTCCTGCCGCAAGGCTTGCAGGGGTGCCGCGCGCTCGATCGGCCCATCAATACGCGTGGGGTCGGCGGAGTTGGAGGGGGAAGGGGTCCTCCTCGTCCTCCTTCCCCTCCTCCTCCACCTCCTCCTCTTCCGCCTCCTCGTCCTCCACCTCCGTCCCCCCGCCAACTTGTGGTGGTGGTGGTGGACAACAAGCCCATCAGAAATAGTACCTCTTCAACAGCAGGAGCTCGACCACAAGAAGCCTACCACGAGGAACCCAGCCCTGAGACCCCAGGACGTCCGGTGACTGCTGGTGCGGGAACGTCATGCTTCCCATAGCAATAGAGACATCCTAGATGGGGTCTGAGTAGATGGGGTCGGAGAATCTCGCCGCATCGTCAATGCATCGGCGATGCATCGCCGATGCATCAGCGATGCATCGGCGACGTCGGCGATGTATCGGCGACGCCGGCGTGGAGAAAATCAGGCTCCACATTGAGCCGCATCGCCGATACATCGCCGATGCGGCGCGATCCTCCGACCCGTCCACTCGGAGCCCTCCTAGGAGGCCTAGAAGCAAAGCCATCGACGCCCAAGAGACCCAGGGCACCCTGGAGGCAAGCAGGGCGCTTCTTGGCAAGGGCTTCCACTGCACACGGGCACGGGCTTCGAAGCCTCCTCGGGAGAGGCCACGGGCGACGCCTGGGGGCGTCGGAGAGGAAAGCCTGCCCCCCGCGTCGGCGCCAACCTCCCCGGGGCCCCGCGAGCCGGGCGGCCCTGCTGCGTCGCCGTGGGCCGGTCCGCCCGCACGCGGGCGGACCCCACACGGCGGCGTCTGCGGAAGCCGCGCGCTCCAGAAGAGGGCGGCGTGCCCCTGCTCCAGCCCCGGGCCCCGAGCAGCTGAGAGGTTTCTGATGTCACAGGGCTTGGGGGAAAACACCAGGCCCCCAACCAAGCACCTACGGGTGCGCAGGGGGCAGCTGAGCACGTGTGTGGGACAGGGCTGAGCGAAGTTCACGGTGAGCGGGTCTGAGCATGCGTGGGTCTACGCTTGAGTGGTCTGCGAGTGATCGAATCAGAGCTGGCGAGAGAAGAACCCCATGCGTCGTACACGGGGGCCCGAGAAGCCATTGAGCTATCCCTCCTTGGGCAGCCCACGAGAAACGAAGGATAAATACAAGGACGGCATTACAGAGGATGTACAAGATGAGGAGGAGGAGGAGGAGGAGGAGGAAGAGGAAGAAAAATGGACAAAAATACAGATGCCGAGGCACGCGCGGACCGTCATGCATCGCGCAGCTTCTGGCTGCTGATGTGTCTCCTCCGAGCACTGCCGGGAAGCCCATGCGCTCACGGTGCATGTGCTGCCACCCGGGGCCTCCTCTTGTGCGCGTCCGAGCGCACGCGGGGAGGCCCTGGCTGGCGCACGCAGAATGGTATCGGGTTCCGAAGCACTGGCCGCCCTGTGAACCCCTCGCGAGTCAACTCGAGCTTGGGAGGCAGCTGTGAAACAGCTTCACGTTTGGAGCGCAGGTGGCAAGTCGAGGCCCACGACTCCTCCAGAGGCTGTCGTCGCGCTCACGTCCTGGCGACATCCGCATCTGCGTCCAGCATAGGCGCGCAGCCACGGCCCTGATGGCGGCAGCACCACATCTTCTTCGCCGCATCCCATTCGGTCGTCCAGTCATTGATGCCAACTTCGCAATCGTAGCTCTCGTCCTCTCCCCCGGCAGCTTGCTCCTGCTCCTGCCGGCAGGATCAGCCAGCATCGAACAGAAGTTGGATCGAATCGGAACGAGCGTCGGATCGGGCTACATCGACACAAAGTCGAAGTCGAAGCGGATCGGCTGCGCCAGGATGCACAACAGCGCCACGCAAGCATCGGGCCGCCTGGCATCGTCAGAAAATCGAAATCGAATCGGATGAATCCTTCCAGAATCGATATCGCATCTGGTGGACCCGGATCAAAATGGGCCCTGGCCCGTAGAACAAAAAACTCTGCAACATCACCAGACTCATTGCATCGTACGTTCGGAAGCCAGTCACACACTAGCACTGAAAAGTTGAAACAACTGAACAGCGAAGTGTTCGGAAGCCAGTGGCTCACTGCCTCTCACGGCTTCCCTGCCCACTGGCAACGAACGAAGAATAGCCGATGCGCACCAAACGGATCGACAACTCTGCTTTTTGATCCTCCCCCGCCTCATCCGAGCACCGAGCCTGCATTGGCTGGCATCAGTACAAGCTTGCTTCCGCTCCACCAACCTATCCCTCCAAATGCCCTTCCCTCCCTCCCCTCAGAACCTACAGTCGGCGGTGGACAAACCTCCCTTTAGTAAACCTTCCCTTAGTGAAAACGGCCTGGGACCGAAACCGACGGACCTGGACCCGCAAGAATGGCGGCCACGACGCCCTCTCGCGAACCGAAAACGGCCAATTTGCTATTCGATGTGTCAGGGTGAGGAGAACTCCCCGGTGTGTCCTTGGCCTCTGGCTCCAGGGGGGCCACCATCGGCACGGTGACCAGTGGCGGGGCCTCCGTCAGCGGAGGCGCCTCCGTGGGCACGTCGATCGCCGGTGCCGGGGCTGGGGGGAGGTCCGCCGTCGTAGGCGGAGCCGGCTGCGCCGCCAGCGTCGGCGCAGGAGACTCCACCGGCGGCGCGACAGAGGAGGGCGCCTCTTGGGGCCGAGAGTTCGGCATGCCTGTTCGGGTTCCCCCTCTGGGCCCCCTCTTGGGGCCATCCTGGGGCCGTCCTGGAGGCCTCTTGGGCTGTCTGAGGGCCATCTTGGGCCATGTGGGGGCCCTGTTGGAGGCTTTTGGGCAGTCTTGGAGCGATCGTGGGGCCTTCTGGGCCGTCCAGGGCGGCCGGCAGCTCGAAAAGGCGGTAGGCTCGTTTGCCTGTTTGCTGCCCCAACAGCCTGCGTCTCTTGTGTGGTGGTGGTGGGCGCCTCAGTCACATAGCAGCCAAGCTTCATGTTTGCGCAGCACCAGGTCTGCTTCTCCTGGGTCCACGAGGCCACGCCGCCTTCGTGGCAGTCAAACTTCACCACGGCTGGCAGCTGGCAGCCCCTGCTCGCGTGCAGACAGCACCAAGCCTTTTTCTCCACAGGCCACGTCTCATTCCAGCCGTCGTAGTCCTTCAGGCAATCGAATGGCAGAGACGTGGTGGAGCTGCAGCCAATGCCCTTCTCTCGGCAACACCACTCCTGCTGCCCGTCGCTCCATGACGACATGTCACCCGTGTAACAATCGTAGGGCTGCTTGCTGGTAACTGCGCACCCGCGACCGTGGTTCTGGCAACACCAAGTCTGCTTCTCCGTGCTCCACTTATCGGGCCACTCCGAGCCGTCCTTCCCAAAGCCGTCGTAACAGTCGTGCGGGGCAGAAGAAATGTTGGGGCATCCGACTTCAAAGTGCATGCAGCACCAGGCCTTCTTCCTCAGAAGGAATGCGAAATCGGGGGCATGCGGGGGAAACCGCGAAGCGTCCAAGGGGCAAAGACTATGGAACCGTCGGAGGAGCGAATGGCGACCACACGGAGACACCAGGGCAGGGTCGAGGGGGCCCTGGAAGCCTCAGGCGGGGGCAGGGGAAGAAGGCGACATAGAATGTGTGCAGCTCCCCGCTTCCTCGGATCCCACTTGGCCTCCCACTCGTCGAACTCCTGGTAGCAATCGTAGGGGGACTCCGTCGTGGTGGGGCAGCCGCGCCCGTAGTGCGAGCAGCACCACCGGCTCTTACTGTCGCTCCACGGCTCCACCACCCCTGCGGGGGAAACCAAAGGGTACCGTTAAGTCGGGCCTGTCCCCCTACAGGGGGATTTTGGACGAAAACATAAACAATAGTCAAAACATGCCCAAAAATATGCAAAAAAGGTAAAGGAAGGAAAAAAAGGAAACGTCTCCTAACTATTTTGTGAATATTTTTGAATTCTCCTCCTGTGGAGGGACAGGCCCGACTTAAGGGTACCGATACCGCTACTCCCCCGACCTCTCCCAGGGTGCATTCTGATCAGGATTTCGAGGCGAACCCAGCGGTGGCGACGAGGGCCTCCCAGGAGGCCCCAGAGAGAGGGAACCGAGGCAGGGGTAGCAGTATCGGTACCTTTTCCTCGTCCGACCTGCGGCGCTCAGCGTGCAGTTGTAGCTCAGCTGCTGCGGCGCAGGGCAGCCTCTGTTGCGGTGGGTGCAGCACCACGCCCTCTGCTCCTCGTTCGCAGCCTTTTTTTTGAGCTTCCGGGCGGCGCCGCTCTCAACGTGGACCGCGGCCTTGTTGGTCGGAGGGGCCGCAACGCTCCCCTTATGTTGCATCTTCGGGGGACCTTGTCTGTCCCGTCGCGTCGGGATCCACGTCGAATCCGTGTCGAATATGTGTCGAGCGCGTCCAATCCGTGCCGAATTCGTGTCTAATCCGTGTCGATTCCGCGTCGAATCCACGTCGAAATCCGTGTCGAACCCACGTCGGGAGAACGAGAGAAGACTGCCAATTGTAGGACAGGAAAGGCCCACCGAAGATGCAGAGTAACTCCCCCCGCTTCCCTCCCCCCTCCCCCCCCAATCCTCGGGGGAAGGGAGGAGAGTGGGCGCGAGAGGAGCGAGGGGAAGGGGGAAGGGATCAGGGATGCTGCAAGAGCGCGTCGACGAGCAAGAGAGCTCTCCCCCCTCCTCCCTCCGCACGTCGAAATCCGTGTCGGACCCAAGTCGGAGTACAAGATAATACTGCCAATTGCAGGACAGGAAAGGCCCCCCCGAAGATGCAGAGGAGCGAGTGGGCACGAGAGGAGCGATGGGGAAGGGGGAAGGGATCAGGGATGCTGCGATGCTGCAAGAGCGCGTCGACGAGCAAGAGAGCTCTCCCCCCCTCCCTCCCTCCGCACTTCTTGCCCTTCAGGATGGGCGGGCCGCCTCCGTGGTCGCTGCTGCAGTCTTGGTGGGAGGAGACGTCGGGGCCGGCGCCGGGGCCTTTGTCGGAGGGGCCGCAACGCTCCCCCCGCCTCCCTTCCGCCCTTCCCGCCCCTCCGTCAAATCCGTGTCGAATGCGTGCCGAGCGCGTCCAATCCGCTTCGGGCCAGTGTCGGTTCTGCGTTGAATCCAGCGTCGAAATCCGCGTCGAACCCACGTCGGGAGAACAGAAGAAGACTGCCAATTGCAGGACAAGAAAGGCCCCCCGAAGATGCAGAGCAACTCCCCCCGCTTCCCTCCCCCCTCCCCCCCAATCCTCGTCCACCGTCTCATCGAATCGCCGCAGGGCAGTCTTCGCACTGGTAAAGTGTGCCGTACACCCCCTCGCTCGGATGCTCAACCCAACATCTGCAGTTGCACCTGTGTGCAACACTGATACAGAAGCATGCGCACTGGAACCACGCGCTTGCGCTTCACACGCGCGCGATTCCCGCGCGCTAGCGCAGGACAGAGCAGCGTCCTAACACAGTACAGTCAAATTTGATGATCAGGACGCGCGGTAAGGACGCAAGAACCCTGGACGCCCAAGTTGATTCTGAGCGGCGCACGGCGAACATCCCAAGGACGCAAGGATACCCTAACGGACCCCCGTCCTTGCCGAATGGGCGCCAGGACCGAAAGGAAGAACACCGCAAGGAGAGGTTGGTCAGCGAGATCGGCTCAGGATGGGCTGAACAGGCAAGGACGCAAGGGCACCCTTGGAAATTCATTCGTCCTTGTGGTCAACTTTGACTGTAGGTGCATGGGCGAAGCTCCACATTGACAACTGAGTGCGTGGCGATGTCTCAGCCGTCGGAGGCCATCTGGGGGCGTTTGAGATCCGTGTGAGTGTCCTCCTGGGCCGCTTCGCAGTTCCTGCAGGTGGCAGGGGACGCTTGAGGACGTGCGGGGTCCCTCTGTGCTGTCTTGGGGCTGCCGTTGGCCTCCTGGCACTCCCAGCACAGCGCTGGCTCCATCTCGGACCGAGAAGCCTGGAAAGCAGAGAACCTGCAAAACTCTGTCACCGATTTCGAACATGCCAGCTGACCCGTCGGGACTTACCAGAAGCAACTCTTGGATTTGGAGGCTTAGAAATGGGCACCAACACCAACACAGGGGGGTGTCTCCACATGGGGAAGATGATCCTAGATTTCGGTGTCGGTGGCAATAGTTCGGTCGCCTTGGAAGCCTGAGTATTACCACCATCACCGAGATCGGGATCTTCTTCCCTCGGTGGAGGCACACCGCCGATACTGGTGGTGGTGTCAACCTCTAGGCCTGAGGCGGCCTGCGATGGATGCCTCCGGCGGCTTCTTGATGGCACGCTGTGGGGATGCTTTGGGGGCGCCTGGTGGCCTACCCGGACCGCCCGAGAGTGGGCCTCCACGGGCAGCTCGAGGGGCCGCCACGGGCTCCCCCAATTGGGACCCCCCCCCATTGGGCCCTCTCGGGGCGCTCCAGGTCCACCTTGGGATGCTCTATAGGGGGGGGGCCCTCGGCGCGTCCCGCGGCGCGCGTGGGCGGCTCTGGGGCCACACCCGGGCGAGAGAGAGAGGGCGAGAGAGAGAGGGAGATAGAGAGAGAGAGAGAGAGAGACAGAGAACAAGAGAGAGAGAGAGAGCGGGAACGGGAACGGGAACGGGAACGGGAACGGGAACGGGAACGGGAACGGGAATGGACCCCTGGGGCTTTCACTTTTTTTACGGGCCCCCCCCAAGGGGCTCTGGCCGCTCATCCTGGAACCATGTCGGAACCATCCAGATACCTCCTGAGGCGCGCATCTGCTTCTCCGAGAATCCATAGACGCAATCCTTGGCCGAAGTGCTGGGAATTCCAAAGATGCCACAGAGCCTACGGAGGAGTTCCTCAGATCGTGTTATGAGCGTCGGTCCGCCGGGACTTCTCCTCTTCGGCTGGCATGTGGCCTTCTGGCGCCATCTTGAGATCAGGTAGGAGCCTCTGGGACCTTCCTCCGCTAACCTGGCGGTCACTTGGGCGGTCTGGTGAACTCCGGGAGTTCTCTGATGCGTGACACCACCCGCTCGCACGGCCCGCTCGCCCGCACAGCGCACGGGACTATCTCAGAAACACGTGAGGAAGCTCATTGAGAAGCTCGTCCGCCTCTCCGAGACCCTCTTGTTATCATCTTGGGCCGACGTGCTGGGGCTTCCAAGAAGAGCACCCAAACAACGGGACACTTTTCAGTGCTCGCCTGATGTCGGTCAGCTGGGTGTCCTTTTGCAACTCTCGTCTGGCCACCTTGCAGACGCCTCGGGACTACTTGGGAACGTGTTGGGCCCTCCTCGGCGATCTAGGCAAGCACTCGTTTGGCTCCGCCGAGACACTCTTGGAAACACCTTGCGCCGAGAAGGGACATCCCAGACACACACACACACACACACACACACACACACACACACGCACACACACACACACACGCACACACACACACAACACACACGTTAACACACACACACACACACACACAACACACACGCGCTAATACAAACACACACAACACACACACACGCTAACACACACACAACACACACAACACACACGCGCTAATACAAACACACACACAACACACACACACGCTAACACACACACACACACACACACACACACACACACAACACACACACACACGCTAACACACACACACACCACACACGCACACACGCTAACACAAACACACAACACCCACACACACACAACACACACACACCTACACACACACACACGCTAACACACACACACACACACACACACACACACACACGCTAACACACACACACACACACACACACACACACACACACACACACACGAAACACACGCACACACACACACACACACGCAAACACAAACACACACGCACAACACAAGCAAGCCAGCATCCAGACCTGAGTGAACTCAGACGCTCTTTCACTTGCGTGCGCCCGAGGGGAGGCGCACGACCGAGACCTGCCTGCACTCTCGTGGGGACACCGTGGGGCCATCCTGGGGCCGTGCTGGGCTTCGCTGGGGCGGTCCCGCGGCCGATCCTGGGCCCGGGGAGCCGGCCGCGAATCTCTGTCTGCGTGTTAGCGTGCGCTTCGTGAGATCCCGGAGCAGCACACCATACAGTCGGGGCGTTGACCTAAGGAACCCCAAATAAGGAACGGGACCCCTTTTTTCCACAAGTTAAACTTTGATTTCCCATCGAAAACCCAAGGAAAACCTCAGGCAAGCTGTAAAACAATGAAGGAACACGGAGCCCATCCCCAACGAAAAGGGTTCTTTCTTCAGCGCCCCGACTGTATCCTGGTCACGTCTGATCCTTGACAGCATGCCCAAAACGTAGATCAGGGGGCGGCGGGCAGCCTGCCGTGCAGGCTGTGCGGTGTCGGCCGTGCGAGGCAACCCACGCAGGCAACGCGAAGGAGCAGGAGCGGGCGGCCAACGGGCGGAACCTCGGCGGACCCGGCCAGCGCGCGGAGCGCTCACGAGGCGCCCACGGGCGCGGCCGCCCGGCGGAGCAGATGCGGACCCAATCAGCGCACTGTGGCGCCCACGAGGCGCCCCCCCTGGGGCGGCCGCCACGAGGCACCCAGAAAGCACCCCCCACGCTCTGGGAGGGGGCACCGGGTCAGGAGAGGGCCACGAACGCGGGGGAGAGGGCTTATAAGGGGGCCCTGGAAACGGCAGGGCCGTTTTTGTTTCCGGTTCCGTCGGGCCGTTTTTTTGCCGGTTCCGACGTTGTGTTTTCACCGGTTCCGTCGCCGTTTTGGACCGGTTCCGGCTCCGGCTCAAATTCTGGAGCCGTTTTTTTGCCGTTTCCGGCGGCCTCCACGAGGCACCCAGAAAGCACCCCCAACGCTCTGGGAGGGCACCCGGGTCAGGAGACCCTGAGATCCGACGTTGCCCAAAAAAATTGCAACATCGCAAAAAAATCACGCCCAGAGCCCCGGACCGCATCTTTCTGCGTCCTTTTTCGAGCCGGATCGATCTGTGAGGGTCCCGGGGCCCGAAATTGAGCGGCAACCCGTGTTGTCAAAAAATTGCAACGCCAGGATTTCAGGGGAGGGCCACGAACGTGGGGGAGAGGGGCACGTATCGAGGCGCCCACGGCCTGTTCTCAACCGCTACAAAGCGCACGAACGTGGGGGAGAGGGGCACGTATCGAGGCGCCCACGGCCTGTTCTCAACCGCTACAAAGCGAGGCGTGGGCACCCCCAGGAGCAAGAGCACGCCCGGGGAGCGCGCGCCCGGGAGCAAGAGCACCCCCGGGAGCAAGAGCACGCTCTGGGAGGGGACCCGGGTCAGGAGAGGGCCACGAACGCGGGGGAGAGGGGCACGTATCGAGGCGCCCACGGCCTGTTCTCAACTGCTAAGGAGGAGGAGGAGGAGGAGGAGGAGGAGGAGGAGGAGGAGGAGGAGGAGGAGGGAGAGGAGGAGGAGGAGGAGGAGGAGGAGGAGGAGGAGGAGAGGCGTGGGCACCACCGGGAGCAAAAAAGCGTACGCCCGGGGAGCGCGCGCGCCGGTCGGGCAGGGCAGGGGCACCGCGGGCGCAGGCGCGGCCTGCCGCCCCCCCGCGCACGCCCGGCGGGGCCCCCACCGCCCGGAGCAGCCCAGCACGGCGGCTCGGGGGCAGTCGCGGGGGAAGGGAGGCCCTCCTCCTCCTCCTCCTCCTCCTCCCTCCTCCTCCTCCTCCTCCTCCTCCTCCTCCTCCTCGAGTGGGCGCGAGAGGAGCGAGGGGCAGTCTTCGCGCTGGCACAGTGTGCCGGACACCCCCCTCGCTCGGATGCTCAACCCAACATCTGCAGTTGCACGTGTGTGCAGCACTGATACGGAAGCATGCGCACTGGAACCCCGCGCTTACGCTTCCCGCGCGCTAGCGCAGGACAGAGCAACGTCCTAACGCAGTACAGTCAAAATTGATGATAATGACGCGGGAGGCGAGTGGGCGCGAGAGGAGCGAGGGGAAGGGGAAGGGATCATGGATGCTGCAAGAGCACGTCGACCAGCAAGAGAGCTCCCCCCCCCTCCCTCCGCACGTCGAAATCCGTGTCGGACCCAAGTCAGAGTACAAGATAATACTGCCAATTGCAGGACAGGAAAGGCCCCCCGAAGATGCAGAGGAGCGAGTGGGCACGAGAGGAGCGATGGGGAAGGGGGAAGGGATCAGGGATGCTGCAAGAGCGCGTCGACGAGCAAGAGAGCCCCCCCCCGCTCCCTCCGCACTTCTTGCCCTTTCGGATGGGCGGGCCGCCTCCGCGGTCGCTGCTGCAGTCTCGGTGGGAGGAGACGTCGGGGCCGGCGCCGGGGCCTCTTTCGTCGGAGGGGCCGCAACGCTCCCCCCGCCTCCCTTCCGCCCTTCCCGCCCCTCCGTCGAATCCGTGTCGAATGCGTGCCGAGCGCGTCCAATCCGTTTCGAACCAATGTCGATTCCGCGTCGAATCCACGTCGAAATCCGCGTCGAACCCACGTCGGGAGAACGAGAGAAGACTGCCAATTGCAGGACACGAAAGGCCCCCCGAAGATGCAGAGTAACTCCCCCCGCTTCCCTCCCCCCTCCCCCCCCAATCCTCGGGGAAGGGAGGAGAGTGGGCGCGAGAGGAGCGATGGGGAAGGGGGAAGGGATCAGGGATGCTGCAAGAGCGCGTCGACGAGCAAGAGAGCCCCCCCCCCTCCCTCCCTCCGCACTTCTTGCCCTTTAGGATGGGCGGGCCGCCTCCGCGGTCGCTGCTGCAGTCTTGGTGGGAGGAGACGTCGGGGCCGGCGCTGGGGCCTTTGTCGTCGGAGGGGCCGCAACGCTCCCCCCGCCTCCCTTCCGCCCTTCCCGCCCCTCCGTCGAATCCGTGTCGAATGCGTGCCGAGCGCGTCCAATCCGTTTCGGACCAGTGTCGGTTCTGCGTCGAATCCAGCGTCGAAATCCGCGTCGAACCCACGTCGGGAGAACGAGAGAAGACTGGGCCCCAACCGCCCGGACCAGCCGAGCACGACTGCTCGGGGGCAGTCGCGGGGAACGGAGGGGAAGGGGGAAAGGATCAGGGATGCTGCAAGAGCACGTCGACGAGCAAAAAAAAAAACCTCCCTCCGCACTTCTTGCCCCGGGGATGGGCGGGCCGCCTCCGAGGTCGTTGCTGCAGTCGTGGCGGTGATTTCTTCGTCCTCGATGAAGTCCAGCTCGGCTGGGCAGTCGTAGAGGGCGGCGGCGGCCACCATGGGACAGCCACCCAGGCCATGCGAGCAGCACCACTCCTGCTCTGCGCTGGACCAGCCGTCGGCCTTCCCCGAGCAAGCGTACATCGGCGGGCTTGTCGTCGGGCAGCCGCGCGCTTGGTACTGGCAGCACCAGGACTTCTGTTCCAGCGGCCAGATGGAGTCCCACCTGTCGTAATCTGAAAAGCAGTCATAAGGCAGTCTGGAGGTGGTGTGGCATCCCTTGTGCTCGTTCAGGCAGCACCACGACTTCTTGGCCAGCGTCCAAGAGGTTGTCCAGCTGCGAAAGTCCGCATCGCAGTCGTGGGGCGGCTGGGTCGCCTGAGGGCACCCTCGACCCTCGTACATGCAGCACCACTCCTTCTTCTCCTGGGCCCACGACTTCTCCCAAGTCGCAAAACCCTCGTAACAATTGTGCGGCGCTGGGCTGGCATGCTTGCACCCGCGCCGATAGGCAATGCAACAATACTCCATTTGCCCCTTGCTCCACTTTGAGTTCCATTGGGCGAAGTCTTTGTCGCAGTCGTACGGCGCAGATGTCGTGGTGCTGATGTCGCAGCCCTTGCTGAACCTGGGACGACGATCGGCCGACTTCCTGGGGGGCACTGGGGAAGCCAGCGGCCACCACGCGGACCCTGGGCAGGCCAGAGAGCGATCGGAGCGAAGTCGGACGCTTCGACTCGGACCGCTATCTCCGCCCGGGCGGCGGCTGGAGGCCTGGCTGGAGCGTCTCCCCGGGGCCCCCAGAAGCCCGGCGACCGCGGGACCTGGAGCAGCACCAGTCGCGCTTCTCGACGGACCAGTTGCCCTCCGGGCCTGGCGACGCCGGCTGCTGGCCCTGCGTCTGCTGCTGCGAAGCCTCCGTCGGCGATGGAAAAGAAAGGTTGGGAGCGTAGGGGGGGGGGGGGGGCAAGGCGGAGATGGGATGCACGCGTGCGAGTTCCTACACGTGCAAGTAACGAGGGCGAGGAGGGGGGGAGGCGAGTAGGGGGGGCGAAGGGGTGGGAGGGGAAGGAGGGGGGAGAGCAGAAAGGGCCAGCGACGGGGCGGAGAACGGATGGGTGGTGGGGCGGCTGTCCAGCCCGCCGCCACAGGGGGAAACCCGAGGGCGATATTTGTTTTGTGGCTGACGTGCCGCGCGCCTCGGGCAAAACATCGCCAGGATCGAATTGGCCCAACGGAGGTCTAACATGGGAGAGCCACGGGGTGAACTCCGGGGGGCCCGCACAGAAGCGCGGGAATGCGCAACAGCACGGGATCACAAGGGAGACCGCGCAGGAGAGAGCGAGAGTGTCGGTGGCACACTAAAGGAGCCACCGAAGTCCTCACACACGGAAACCGAGAATCGGATTGAACATAAATCTGATTCAAGAAGGATCGGAAAGATACGCATGTTGGCATTATCAGCTAAGGCGTCCCTACAACGGTTTGAATCAAGCACAGCAGCGTAAGCACGCACACATACACGCACTGAGCATGCGCACGACGCAACATTACCTCACGCATAGCTAACGACATTGGACCTGATCTGTGCCATTGCAACAAAAGGAAAAATCAATTTGCCTTCGGACCCCCAGAAACAGGACTGAAAACGAAACAGCCTCGAAACCAGCGAAATAAGACATCTACGCTCGCTAACGAAAATGGAACAAACACAAGAAAACCCGCTCACGACATATTGATGTAGTGGAAGTGATGAGCCCCGGTCTCCACATACACCGTTGTATGTTTTCCCCTATGCGCCCGCGAACTCCAACGAGCCCGTGAACTCCGCGCTCGATCGCGCAGTCTGCTGGCTGTCCGTGAAACACTGATACCTCGTCGTCAGATCTCTCCCGCACGCGCACTGCGACTGCGTCTCGGCCGCCCTCTTCACCTACGAGCTCTACGTCTACAGCCCTGACATTTGCTGGTACGCCGTCGTCAACTCAACCAACCTCCAGGTTCTTGATATTCTCGCGAGGCCCAGCCAGCTCGTTCGTCTGGCTCGCCAACTTAACGTCCAGGCCCTTGATATTCTCATAGTCCGGCCAACTCCTTCCCCTGGCCCATGATAAGATTAACCCTGTCCTCGGAATCCACGAAGAAAGCTTCCAGGTATTTCTCAAGGTCCCTGAACGCCCTCATCTTCTCTTGCACCGTGACGTTCACTTGCGCGCTCTCGAGCATGCTGATCCCCGTCGTTTGGATGTAGATATCCTTGACAAGCCGCGCACGTTTGTCGTCGGCGACAGGCGCCAAGCCGCTGTCGCCCCCCGACCGTCGCAGGCCCTCCAAGAACTGTTTCTCGTCGCGACGCCTGCGCCAACACACTGCGCGCACCGCGCGCACCGGTTACATTGATCTCAGTGAGCACGCTAACGTCAGTTGCGACAATCCACCAGGGCGGCGTCGCGCGTTGCCGCGAGGACGGCCCTACGCGATGGACTTGTTCCTCGTTACCTGGGCCATGCTCGAACGAGTCTCGCAGCGCCAGCGGCGACCTGCCGCAGCGGCCAGCTGCTTCGGCCCACTCGTGCTGGGCATGAACCAGCGCGTCGAACCATCGGCTCTGGTTGGCTACTGCCGCGGCCGCGGCGTCTGCCAGCCGGCCCCCGTCCAGCGCGTTGAACCACGCGCGCGACGCGCTGCGAGTGCGCGCGCGCAAGCGGAAGTAATCCGCTAGGTGCTCAACCCAGCGTACGTCTGCGCTAGCGACGATGAGTTCCACCATGGGGCCCCACGCGCAGTGCCTCTCCAGGGGGCTCACTGCGAGCGCCACCTCCTCAGTGAGTCGAACATTCCCGACGCAGTGCGTCACAAACACTATGTGGAACCACACTGCCATCAGACGCTCTCGGCGACCGCCTGGACCCTGCTCATGGTCGCCTCCGCCGGCGACTGCCTGGTTCAAGCGCTCGTACACAGACGACAGATAAGGAACGCGGGGCCCCTGCCTCACGCCTGCGCTGGGCCGGCAACGCTCGAAGGCATTGAGCTCGCACGGCCTCAGAACGTCGGCTCCAGAAGACCACCACTCTGACGCGCTGTCCGCAACGGCAAAACCGCCTGTCTGTCCTGCGACACAATGCCCCAGGAAGTACACGTCAGACCGGAACATGTCTCGAGATGGCGCCTCTGCAGATCCGCTTCCGCAGTCGACCTCCACTATGCGACTGGCGAGGCCCAGCTCAGCGAACAACGCGTCAGCCCAGTCGCGCACGGAACCATGAAGCCCATCTGCAAAGATTGAAGACTTTGGGCCAGAAAAAATGAATGACCGAGGCTCGCTTCGACCGCCGCGCGCGGCCCGATGCCAGGGGCGCCGCGAACTGCTCAGCGGAGAGCATGGGCGGCAGCCGTTCGTCGCCCCCACGCCGGGCAGATCTGCGGCGGCGCCGCCGTCGCCGTCTGATCCAGATCCCCCCTCTGCGGACATCGCGGCGCCCATGGCGTCCGCGCCAGCGTCATCATTGGAACTGGTCGCCGTCTCTGGGTCGGAATCGTCGACAGGAACGGGCGGCGGATCGGCCCGTGGTCTCCCGGCCGCGACGGCATTGCCGTTGCCCTGCACGGGCGCCGCCCCCCCCCCCCCCCTGGGCGGGCAACGACAGCGGCCCAGTCTTACAGCCACAATGGTGCGCGAAGTTGTCGGAGAGGACGAAGTCAATTGATTTCGAACACAATTTCGCGCGGCATGCGACGGATGCACTTGCTTCTGGACCCAGGTCAGCACGCGCGCGCTCCGCCGCGGCAACTCGGAAGGGGCCCAGCCGAGCAAACCAAGCGCGGCGGCGTCGGCTGCCATCGCGCACGCCGCCGGCGAGGCCCAGGACGAGATGCAGAGGCGGACCGCTGCGGACGTCGCGCTGGCCAGGGGCCCTGGAAGCGGGAGGCGCCGGGGAGGGAAGGCGGGGCGGGAAGCGGCGCCCCCGGAGAGGCTCCACGATGGAAGGCTGCAAGCCACCGCCGGCTCCTGCAAGGAGGCCGGCCAACGGGGCTGCGAGCGGCAACCCAGGATCGAAGAGCTCGACCAGGGAAGGGGGCGCGCCGCCGCCGGCTCCCGCGAGGAGGCCGGCCGGCGGGGCGTGAGGCGGCGGCCCGGGAGCAGCCCTGGGATTGAGTGTACCCTTCGGGGGCAAACTCTGTTTCTCTGTTCAGGCCGAAAACTCCGATGAAGGTCTGATTCATGTCTGCGCTGGAACTCTGGTTCAATTCTGGCCCTCAGCACCGACTCTGATTTAGGTCTGGCTGGAACTCTGATTTAACTCTGGCCCTAAGACCCAAGTCTGATTTGGGTCTGATTGGACCTCTGATTTACCTCTGGCCCTTAGACCCAAGTCTGGTTTAGGTCTGACTGGGAACTCAAATTTAAGTATGATCCTGGTTTGGTTTGGGCCCGCCGAAACCAATGTCACGGCGTCGGCCCTGAACGCTGCCGGATCGGCCCTGCGCGCATGCGTCTTCAGGAACAATAAAAAGAATACGCATGTCAAGCGGCAGGTCACGGCTGGGGACCCGGCCGCCAGCTGCCAAATACTGCGAGCTTGGCCCGCCTGCGCACGCCGCCCTACGGCAACGCTACAGCTAAGGCCTGCGCGGGGGGCACGGGGCAGCGCCCCCCGCCTGCGCGGCACCCCCAAAACTGCCCGAAGCTCGCCCCTCAGGGCGGCCAGCTGCCGCGCCGCGAAAGGACGCACAACGCGGTGGCCGCCCCAATCCGCGCCGCCCGCCTGGGACAGGTCAGGGGCGGGCAGCGCAGAGGAGAAGCGCCGCACTTTTCGGAAGGCTCGGGGGCGCGGAAGTGCCCTGAGAGGTTGCTGAGAGGCTTCGGGAAATGAGCAGGGCCCGGGAGGGACTCGGAGGGTTTTCGAAGGCGGAGGTGGCCCGGGAAGGCGCTCCGAGAGGTCGGGGGGAACGGGGACAGCTGGGAACTATTGCTCAGAGGTCGGGAGGAATGTCGAGATCCTAGCAAGGTTTTGAAGGCGCATGGGGGGTTTGGCTTGGGAGCTTTTCCGGAAGTTGTCGGAGCGTGCCGGAACATCGGAGCTGCGCCCGAACGCTCGAAACGGTTCCGCGGGAAGCGGCGGGCTCCGGAGGGACGCGGAAGGTGTCGGAGCATTTTGGACCACAGCGGGAGCTCCTTCGAGTGCATTCGGGGGCGAGTTTCCCAAGCAGCACGGGCAGGGGGGCGAAAATGTGTCAAAATCGGCTCGCGTTATAAACGGGCTGGTGTTGCCCGGCATGCGTTGGGCACTTTCGCTTGCTCAGACACGTATCCCCCCCTTTCCGTTCTTGCGTCGTCGGCGGGGGGGTCGTGCATGAACGGATTAGTGGTGGTTCTTGCTTCGTGGTGTAGAGCGGCTGGGAACCGAGAATCGCCGCATTGCCCCGCGCCAGCTCAGCTCGGAAACGCGGGGAGGGGCGGGGAGGTTCTTCATCGGCGTTGGAGGCGGCGCGAGGCCCCAGGAGATTTTCAGAGCTCCGGCGGGGCGCGATGGGGCCGGGCGGGACTCCAGCGGGTTAGGAGCTGTGGCTTGGGGGTCGCCCCCATGCAGGCGTGGGCGCCGCCAGGGAGATGTTGCGGAGGGGCCTTCGGCGGGCCTTCCAAGGAACCTTCGGCGCTCTTTTGGGAAAAACCGGGGTTGTTTTGAGCCGTCTGCGCGAGGGGCAAGGCCGCCGCGCACGCGGCCGCCATGGCCCATGCTGTGTGGGAAGCGTACGCACGCACACTGTTCCAATAGGAGGATACTTATCCGCCGACCGGAGCAGCCTATACATCTGTACGCAAGAAGTTCGAATGCATCTTCCAGTGCATGCGCGTGCACGTATATGCTTACAATACACACGTACGCTCATTCTCCGTCAAATACTTTCCCAGGGGGGACACTTCAAAAGATGATTATCCGCTGGCGTATTCTTGACACTCGGGATCCGGGGGGGGAGGGGGGTCATCATTTGTTTCGCAGGTTTTGGACATTATATATATATATATATATGTGTGAACATTGAGATACGGCCGTCAGCATACACAAACGAACAATATCGTATACCCATTGCCTTACAAAGTCAACAATCAGTTCAATCAGCCGTGCTAGCCCACCTGAATTATGCACCACCCTGACATGTTTCTCGACCCGCGCCCCGCCACAGCAACGAGACCCCCAGAGGTCAACAGACGAGCTCACAATAACATGCTAAGCGCATGGAGGCATGTCTAGGGGGCCACATGCGAACCCTACCCCTACCCCCCACGATTTCTGAGGGGGAGGGTGGGGTCCGCTTCGCTCGACAGCTCCCGAACGAAGTGAACCCCACCCTCCCCCTCAGAAATCGTGGGGGGTAGGGGTAGGGTTCGCATGTGGCCCCCTAGTGTCGGAGTAGAGGGGGAAGCCCCCCCTTTGGAGCCCCCCACGGGCCGACGAGCTTCCGCCCACGGCCGCTGCAGCGACGTCGTCGGAGAGGTTGCCCGCAGGAGGGACTGCCGGCCCTGGGGGCGCCGAGTCTTCGCTGGCCACCGGCGCCGTTGCATTGTCGCCCGGAAGCCCTGCGGCCCCTCCATCCGCAACAGCTTGTCCCGGGACCACCTCAGGAGGAGGAGGAGGAGGAGATGAGGATGAGGAGGAAGAGGAGGAAGAGGAGGAAGAGGAGGGGGAGAAGGAGGAGGAGGAGGAGGAGGAGGAGGAGGAGGAGGAGGAGGAGGAGGAGAGGAGGATGAGGAGGAAAAGGAGGGGGAGGGGGGAGGAGGAGGAGGAGGAGGAGAGAGGAGAGAGGAGAGGAGGAGGAGGAGGGGGAGGTTGCCAGTAGGAGGGATTGCCTGCCCTGGGGGCGCCGAGACGTCGCTGGCCACCGGCGCCGTTGCATTGTCGCCCGGAAGCCCTGCGGCCCCTCCATCCGCAAGAGCTTGTCCTGGGACCACCTCAGGAGGAGGAGCAGGAGGAGAGGAGGAGGAGGAGGAGGAAGAGGAGGGGGAGGAGGGAGGAGGAGGAGGAGGAGGAGGAGGAGGAGGAGGAGGAGGGGGAGGAGGAGGAGGAGGAGGAGGAGGAGGAGGAGGAGGAGGAGGAGGAGGAGGAGGGAGCAGGAGGAGGAGGAGGAGGAGGAGGGAGCATCGAGAACCGCAGAGAGCGTCGATGCTCCCCCCTCTATGACCTGGTCGGTTGCTGGGCCACTCTCCTGGAGAGTATCAGTGGTGGGCGTCGTTGGCTTGTCGCCCAGGCGCCGAGGAACTCCTCCCGCCCCACGGACATACGCGGCGCCCAGGTACAACTGGGTGTATCCCTCCTCCGGGCGTGCAGCCGGGAGCGGCAAGGGGGGTCTGACGACACAATAATCTCCCACCTCGTCCTCATTGATCACGTGCCCCTGAAAAACACCCGACTCCGGCCGCACCACCAGACGTGAGGACAGGGCGGCTCAACCGCTTCACTTCAGGAGTCCTCAACGAAGTTAGCCCTGAAGGACTGGCGGTTCCAAACAGCTGCACGGATGGAGGGTAAGTCGTTCCGAAAGCGTGGTTCTCGCGCGGGTGCCGTGCACATCCGTTACGACATTGCCAACAGCTGCGCGGACGGAGAGCGGTTGGCTGTCAAAGTCTAGCTCTCGCCCGCGCGCCACACAATATTCGCGCCAGAAAATTCCAGCTGCTGCACGGGTGGGCGGGTGGAGGGCGGCAAACGCTGAAACGTGTTCCACGTTTTCACGGGTGCGGGGTGCGAGTGCCAAGTGCGAGTGTGCAGTGCGACTTTGGGCGTCGAGTGTGAAGGGCGGCCGTGCGCCCCGAAATGGCTGCTAGCTAGAGAGCCACGATCGCTGCTCCCCAGACACACACACAATGGCAAACGCAAGAACCATCTGAGATGTCCTATATTTCTGTGCTCGCAGATCTTAAAACTCCCGATCATCCTGGGCATAGAAGACTGCTCATTTTCAAAACCGTCCTCCCGGTGGGCTCCCTTCTTTCTTGAGACCATGAAAACTTGACACGCAAATAGTTCCATTATGGGAGAATCCTTTTCAGAATCGCGCTATCGCGCCAAGTACGCGGACACCTTTAGTCAGCCTTCTTTCCCGGGCCTAACAAATTTCGCGTCGTAAACTCAGGCAAACAAGCGAGGCCATCGCCTTCCGGGTAGGCGGTCGTCGCAATGGAACAGACCAAACACTCATCTGGGCTGCTCTTGGGATTGGTGGCTGTGTTGCAGCAGCAGGAGGGGCGCGTTATGGAATTACTGCGGTTCTCATCCTCCTCTGTCTCCTCTAACCATGTTCCGTTATACCTACCTCCTCCCTGTCGTACCGCGAGGCGTGCCGGTAGCGCGGGCCGGGAGTTTCGCCTAAGACTTCCTCATCACTTATGACCTCCCAAGTTTGATACTCGCAACGGCTACACTGATAGAACACGTGTGGCTTTCAAAATGAGGCTCTCGCCTTCGCGCAACGCGCACTCGTCGTAAAAGCTTGCAACGGCTACGCACATTGAGCATAGGAGGTCCCCAAACTGTATTTCTATCCTTGCGCCGCGCACACTCGTTTTGAAGACTTGCAACCGATACAATTATGAAGGGCGGTTCCTTTTCAATATGGGGTTCGCTCCTAAGCACCGCGCGCAATCGTCTTGAAAACTTGAAACAGCTTCCAGAATGGACAACGTCTGCTTTTCACAATGAAGCGTTCGCTTGAAACTGCCTCACTCTGAAAGCCTAGAAACATCAACAGATGCTGCAGCTGCACTCGCTTGAAAATCCCTAATTGTTCAACCCCCTTGAGCCTGCCATTCAAGCGAACGGCCCACCTTGAGAAGGACCTGCCTCGCATCCTCCTAGCGATTGGTCGGGAACGCGAGAATGTATAACCACACTGTTCAACGAGGTGTCAATCGAAATCCCCGTATTGAAAAACGACGGCCCACACCCTTGCAACTGTCGCGCAAATCAGCCAGCCATGAACACCGAGGAAATCTCATACGGAACCGCCACTTTTGAAAGAAGCCACCCTACATTCGTGCCGCGGCTTCAGATGTTGAAATTTCGGGTCTTTCGTTAATGAACTCGAACGTCCTCTTTCTACTCATCTTCTTCATTCCTCTTCGAGCCTGTGTATATATTTTCCGGGATAGCGGCCGTCATCAGCCCAGCCCCCCCAGCCCCCACACCCCACCCCCCACCCCCACCCCCCCCACACACAAACACACACACACACACACACACACACGCACGCACGCACGCACACACACACACACAGATGACGCCACGTTCCGCGCAGGCGGCGTCTGGGAATGCCTAGGGATGGCCAAGCCGAGTAGGAGCAGCATGCAGGTGGCGATCTGCAAAACAGCGCCAGTGTACACCACACTGTTCGCATGCACCATACCGCGCGTGTACACCACAACGCCTGTGCACACCGCAACAACCGTGTGCAACGCAGCGCCTGTGTACACCACAATGCTTGCGTGCACTACAGCGCCTGTGCACACCACAAAGCATGTGTACACCACAGCATCCGCCTGCAACGCAGCGCTGGTGTACACCACAGCGCTTGCGTGCACAGGGCACACAGAAGAAACATGCCGGTGAGGATCGGCTGCGGACAACCAAACACGACGCCAGGGAATTGTTGATAATAGAACGCGATGTTCTTCCCTCCTCCTTTCACCTCCTCCTACTCCTCTTCCTTACCCTCTTCCCTCACCCGCACCCCCGCCGTGCAGGTCGACGCTACAGCACACGTGCGTATCTCAGTGTGCACCGCTCTATTGAATCAATCCACCTGGTTTTCGGACGGCCAATTTTGCGGGCGCCTCCTGGACGCAAATGGGAGAAGTTAGGATGATGTGTGAAGAATCGGGCGGACTCGTAGATTCCAGCGGCGCCTTTTCCATGAGGATTCCTTTCCGAACCCTATATACAGCAATTGCCATCTGTGGAATCCACAGGCGCACCATTTTGTCATGAGGTCCTCTGTTGCACACGGTTGCTGTGGTGCACGCAGGCGCCGTGGTGTACACAGGCGCTGTTGTGCACGCAGGCACTGTGTACACTTGTGCTGTATTGCAGACGCTTGATGTGATGTACGCAGGCGCTGTGGTTTACACAAGCGCTGTGGTGCACGCAGGCACTGTGGCACACACTCGCGGTGTGTTACAGGCGGCTGCTGTGGTGCACATAGGCGGTGTGGTGTGCACGTATGCACTGTGGTATACACAGGCGCTGTTGTTCAAATCGCCACCTACATGCTGCTGCTACCCGTCCTCGGTCATTCCTAGGCATTCCCACAAGCCGCTGGCGCGAAACGTGACGTCATCGGCCCCCTCCCCCGCCCAGATGACGGCCGTCATCGGCCCGGAATAAAAAAGAAAACAGGCTCTTCCTTTTAGGCACGCACTGGCGCAAGATCGCTCCGAGGTCCTCCACATCATCATCATTATCATCATCATCAGCACCATCAGCATCATCATCAATGTCCTCCTGTTCCTTCAACTATTGACTGTGTTCCCCAGGGTCAGCGAATGGTGGACCCCATGGTTTCGCGCACCCCTGGTGGCATCCACGCCTTGCTCAAAAGCTACCGTGGCGAAGGGCGGAGGACCCGCAGACCTGAGCCTCCCCAAAAAAGCGGGACAAAAAAGAGGGGGGGAAACCGTATGAACCGTATGAAGACACGAACCAGGTGACGGGTGTGCCGGAATTGACCCATGCGACGAACTCTGCCACTGGGGCAGTCGGTGGCCCTCCTATTGGGCCACGAAACTTGTGAGGGGGTGTGCCAACATGGGGCGGGGCCGCCATGCGGGCGCTGGCACTGAAGCCTCCGGTGGGGCTCCCTATGGGGCCACGAAGTGTGTGAGAGGTGTGCCATTATGGAGCGCGACCGCCATGCAGGCGTTGTGACTGGGGCCTCCGGTGGAGATCCCTATGGGGCCATAAAGCGTGCGAGGTTGTGCCAAAATGGGGCGGGGCCGTCATGTGAGCGCTGCCACTGGGGCCTTCGGTGGAGGTCCGTGTTGGGGGCACGAGAAGGGTAAGAGGCGTGCAAAAATGAGACGGGGCCGCCAGGCAGGCGCTGCCATTGGGGCTTTCGGTGGAGCTTCCTATGGGGCCACGAAACTTGCGACGGGCATACAAAAATGAAACGAGGCCACCATGCGGGCGCTGACAGAGCGGCCTTCGTGGAGCTCCGTGCTGGGACCACACAACGTGTGAAGGGCGTGCCAACAGGAGGCGGGGCCGCCATGCGGGCGCTGCCACTGGGGCCTTCGGTGGAGCTCCGTTCTGGGGACACGAAACGTGCAAGAGGTGTGCCAACATGGGGCGGGACAGCGGTGCGGGCGCTGTCACTGGGGGGCCCTCGGTGGACACCTGCGTCGGGCCACGCAGCGTGTTGAAGAGTGTGCCAGAAAAGGGCGGGGTCGCCGCGCGGGCGCGGCCACCAGGGCCTTCGGTGGATCTCTGCTTGAGGCCACGCAACATGTGAGAGGCATGCTGAAATGGAGCGGGGCCGCCACGTGGACGCCGCCTCTGGGGCCTTCGGTGGAGCTTCGTTTGGGGACCACGAGCCGTGCAAAGGGTGAGGAGGAGGAGAGGGAGGAGCAGGAGAGGGAGGAGGAGGAGGAGGAGGAGGAGGACGAGGATGAAGAGGAGCGAACGTACCCTTGAAGGAGGCAGAGGAGGAGGAGGAGGAGGAGGAGGAGGAGGAGGAGGAGGAGGAGGAGGAGGAGGGGAGGAGAGGGAAAAGGAGGAGGAGGAGGGGGAAAAGGAGGAGGAGGAGGAGGAGGAGAGGGAGGAGGAGGAGGAAGAGGAGGAGGAGGCCAGGGAAAAAAACTTGGCGGCGAGTCCGGGGTGGGAAGTGTGCGGAGGCAGGACCTTCTCGGAGAGCGGCGGCGACTTCTCAGAAGCCCTTTCTCTGGCCTTCTGAGAGGGCGTTTCTGTGCCTTCGGGGAAGACTTCGAACACGGATCCGAGCCCTCTGCGAAGGCCAGCCCCCTCTCGCTTCCCCCCGGGCTCGCCGCCGAGAAACACACCGAAGGAGGACGCGGGGGCGACCCACGACAACGAAACGCCGGTCAGAGGCCGAAGGACCCAATGCCGAGAGGCCGGGCAGGCCCTGGCGCGACGAGCGACCAGTCAGAGCAACTACCTTGCTCGTCCGGCAATGCGACCTGGATTCGGCACGCACGACGAAGAAGCCATGCAGAGCCTGGCAACTGCGACGGCCGCGCTGCATGCCATCAGATCAGGCGCACGCGGCGCGCTCAGCCGCGCCTCCTTCTTGAGCGGACCTTGAGATGGACGCTGGCCCGCGCGGCGCCAGCAGCGCCCGGGCTGAGGACCTCGTCAAAATCTCGGACTGCTGCTGGCAAACGGGAGGAGCCCTTCTGGCCACCTAGCTCACGCTCGGCACAAACCGCGCTCTCCATGCTGAAGCCCCGGACCGCTGTAGCAACAACAACAAGAGTAACAACAACAACAACAACAACAACAACAACAACAACAACAACAAACAGCAACAACAACAGAAACAACAACAACAACAGCAGCAACAACAACAGCAACAGCAACGACAACAACAACAACAACAACAATATCAACAACAACAACAGCAACAACAACAACAACAACACCAACAACAACAACAACAACAGCAACAACAACAGCAACAGCAACAGCAGCAGCAGCAACAACAACAACAGCAATAACAACAACAACAACAGCAACAGCAACAGAAACAACAACAACAACAACAACAACAACAACAACAACAACAACAACAACAACAACAACAACAATTACTAGCACGTGGGGACACTCCGTTCTCACCAGTGCCAGGGTTTTCATAGGAGGCGGGCAATACCCCCACTTTGTGGGGGGGCCGGTTCAAGCTCTACCAAATTTCCAAACGACTCTTCGCCACCACCCACACCCAGCTTCCCGCCCTATGACGTTCGGACACTTCACTTCGTGGCATGCGGACGACCGTGGCTACTATTCAGGGCCCCGCGGCCGACGACGACGGCGTGCGCGCGCGAAGAAAAAACGAATGTGTCCCGCATGGTATTATTTGACAGGGATGATGGCCCTGGCAGGTGCGCAACCGTTGTTGCAGAAGTTCGAAGCACGTGAAGTTGCTCGCAAAAGCCCGTTTGACAGAAATGATTAAAAAGTGTTGGGTTTCCTACGAATCCGCAAGAGCGCGCGGGATGAAATTTTGATATTTTTTTTGAAAAACCATTGGTTTTTTGATGTTTTTATGTTAAAATCGCTACGAAAACTAAGGTTTTGGAAGGATTTCGTCTTGCGCGCGCGAATGTCCACTTTACCTTATTTTTTGCAAGGGATTCTTGAAGTTTGGTTATGTTAGAACAAGAAATGTCCACTTTAGCTTTTTTTGCAAGGGAAAACCGATCGTAACAACACAACCGGATCCGGACTCCGTTTTGCCTGAGACTTCCTCACGAAAATGATGAAAATGAGGCTGCGGCCTAGGCGCGGCGGGGGGGTCGTGCACCAGGGGCCCCAACAATAATTATTCTTTAGAAGTAATAATGTTCAACAATTACTAGCACGTGGGGACACTCCGTTCTCACCAGTGCCAGGGTTTTCATAGGAGGCGGGCAATACCCCCACTTTGTGGGGGGGCCGGTTCAAGCTCTACCAAATTTCCAAACGACTCTTCGCCACCACCCACACCCAGCTTCCCGCCCTATGACGTTCGGACACTTCACTTCGTGGCATGCGGACGACCGTGGCTACTATTCAGGGCCCCGCGGCCGACGACGACGGCGTGCGCGCGCGAAGAAAAAACGAATGTGTCCCGCATGGTATTATTTGACAGGGATGATGGCCCTGGCAGGTGCGCAACCGTTGTTGCAGAAGTTCGAAAAAGTTGCTCGCAAAAGCCCGTTTGACAGAAATGATTAAAAAGTGTTGGGTTTCCTACGAATCCGCAAGAGCGCGCGGGATGAAATTTTGACAATTTTTTTTTGAACAACCATTGGTTGTTTATGTTTTTATGTTAAAATCGCTACGAAAACTAAGGTTTTGGAAGGATTTCGTCTTGCGCGCGCGAATGTCCACTTTACCTTATTTGTTGCAAGGGATTCTTGAAGTTTGGTTATGTTAGAACAAGAAATGTCCACTTTAGCTTATTTTTTGCAAGGGAAAACCGATCGTAACAACACAACCGGATCCGGACCAACCCGTTTTGCCTGAGACTTCCTCACGAAAATGATGAAAATGAGGCTGCGGCCTAGGCGCGGCGGGGGGGTCGTGCACCAGGGGTCCCAACAATAATTATTCTTTAGAAGTAATAATGTTCAACAACAACAACAACAATGGAGTGATAAACCTGGGGGTGCGTAGGGCGACCGCATCTAGACACATCCACGGCTCCCTGGCTTAGGGAAACGAAAAATGACATGTAACAGAAAACCCCTGGCGGCGCCTCCGGCACCGCCCCTGGCGCGCTCCGCGCGCCAGGGAGGGGGGGTCCAGCGCCGATCCGAGAAATCCGCGCGGACCTCAGAGTTTTTATGTTCATGCCACATGTTGTTTCCTCATGGCCAGGCCCACCCTAAGCCCAGGGAGCATTGGGTATGTATAGGTCTCGTCGCCCGAGGGCAGGTGCTGCCGGGGGCAGCGGCGGCAGCACCGGCGGCCACGGAGGCAGAGGGCGGAGGCCGGCGGCCCTGGAGGCAGCGGCGGGGGCGGCGGCGGGGGCAGCAGAGCGCGGCGGGGCCCCAGCGCGAGGAGGCGGCGCGCGTGGGGCCAGGCTGGACAGCCGTGGGAACGGGAGGAGGCAGCACGGCTGCGGCCGTGGCTCGGCCCTCAGGGATGGGAGGGCTCGAGGACTCGAGGGCCATACGCAGCGCAGTCGGCTCGGCTTCCGCGCTCCCGCGCCCGCGCCCCTGCAACGGCTCATACGAGGTCGCGAGGCCGCCCCTCTGAGCACGGTCCTCCACCTCCCTGCCACTCCAGGGCAGAAAATGTCGGCGGGGCTGAAGTCCCGAGCCGCGAACACTTTTTTGCGTCGGCGGCTGGGCAGGGTGACTGCGCTGGCGGAAGGCTACCTTACCTAAACGGGGGTACCGTTGTAACGAGCTGCGAACATAACCACGGCCTCGTCGTTCAGCTGCATGGCGGCGCCCCGCAGCTTGACGAAAAACAGGGAAGGAGGAGGAGGAGAAGGAAAGGAAGGGAGGACGCGACGCTGCAGACTCAAAACCAGAACCCAACGCAACAGGACGGTCGGTAAATACTATCATCAGATCCCTGGCCCGCCCTCTTCCCCAGCCCTTGTCCTACAGGGGCCTACGGCGTGGGAAAAAGAATGACACATACCTCTGGGATCAAATTTGGCAGGTGAATGCCTGTCAAGATGGACCCCCACCACAGGGGGGCCCGGGGGAGTTTTCTCAGCACCCCCTCTCGTGCGAAACTTGCCCCCAAAAGTGCGGGACTCGATTTGTCCATGATCAGAGCCTCAGCGATCTGTGGCCTGGAGGGGTGCCTCATGCCACGCGTCTTCCGAACCCGTGTTGGTCCAGCTCCCATCCCGAAGAAAAGGGGGAGGGGCCCTTGCGAGCTTGGAGTGCGTCGCCGACAGCTGACAACCTCCTCTCTCTCGATGGCCAGACCGACCAGCCATAACTGGGGGAGCTGTGGTCCTTACCCCCCTGGGGGAACCCATCGCCTCGACGATCTCTCGAGAGTGGTGTCGAAATCGACGGGTCCCCCAGAAGGGTAAGGACCACATCTCCCCCAGTTGTGGCTGGCCTGCCAGAGGAGACATGCCCCCGCACCCGCGCTTGGGCGCGAGTCGCGCCTCTCGACGCCCGAGTGCAGAGTCCGACAATGGCAGCGCCTCGCTCTCCTTCCTCGCCTGCTCTCGCTCCTCCTGCTCCACCCTTGCTTGGCGACGCGCCGTGACCTAGACTGGCCGCGGGGGTCTCTGGGCTGGACCTGGGGCAGGCTGGACCTTCGTAAGGAACCGAACTTTACACACCGATGTTTTTTCCCGGTCCCGCACTGAGATTCGCACAAGAAAACGGATTATGGTGTATACGGCATCCTGGTGTATACATGTTTTGTTGTTTCCACGGGAAAACGGGGAAACAAGTATACACCACACCACCCCGACGTCGTCCCCGACCCTCAAAAAAGTCATGGGATTGAAAAACCGCCCGCCACTGGCAATGTATATGTTCCAGTTTCCGACTTGGCCCGAAAGAAGGCGCTGTCTCCTCTGTCGCATCGCAGTCGTATGGGGGCACCGTGGTAGGACAGCCGCGGCTGAAGTAGAGGCAGCAGAATGACTTCTGCTCGTCCGTCCAGGCAGTTGCCCAGTCACTGAACTGAGAGAAGCAGTCGAAAGGGATGGCGGTAGTGGTCGGGCACCCAAGCCCCTGATTCGTGCAGCACCATGCCTTCTTGTCGAGGCTCCACTTGTGATGCTTGCCCGTCTCCTGACAATTGAAAGGGTGAGTGCTGGCTGTAGGGCAACCCATCCCCGAGTGGACGCAACACCACTGCTTCTTCACGTTGTCCCACTTCCCCTGCCAGTCGGTGAGGCCCGACCAGCAGTCGAACGGCGGCGAGGAGGTGGTGCCACAGCCGCGCCCGTACGTCTGGCAGCACCAGGATGTCTGGTCCTCGGTTGACCCCGGGGCTGCGAAAGGCTTCGGTTTTGAATCCCACCGGCCCTCTGAGCGTAGATGGTCTAGCGTGTTTCCTCATCCACTTCCTCTCTCTTTCTCTTCCTCCGGGGAGGGGCCTATCACTGCTCCATGACAATAATACGAGCTACTTGTACTATAACAATAACACAAGCCACGAACTACGAATACTAGTGATATCAATAACAACGCTAACACTGATAAAGCGACCGAGAAAAACAACAAACTGCACATGTGAAAACGAAGAAGAATAATCACACTAGCAATGATACTTAGAAATGTGCTACTAAAAATTGAAAATCTCTCTCCCCCAGGCAACCGGCGACATACCCAGAACCGTGTGGGCCCATCCCTTGCCATCTCTGCCAAAAAAGATTGCAAAGTGCGCACTTCGGCAAACTTTGGACCGCGCGCGAGCGCCAAACGATTACTTTGGATTGTTTTCTGACAGGGACGGGGGGGGCGGTATATTGCCTGCTGCGCGCAAGCCCATCATCCTTGCAGAAGCAGAATATGGAGAACACATGTTGCGGCGAGACCTTGATTCTGCTCGGGCGCCCAGAGATCATTCTGCATTATTCCCTACCTAGGCTCTGCCTAGAAGGGCACTTACTCTCTGGGCTTAAAGGGGCCGGGCAGTGGAAAGCGCCCCGGGCGGCTCCCCCAGTATCCGCCCCGCGGTTCCCCCAGTTACGTCCCCTTAGCCTAGCGTTGCTTATCTCATCTTAGCTGAGCTTGCTTCATCTTAGCTTAGCTTCATCTTAGCTCAGGTTTATCTTACCTTAGCTTACCTTCATCTTAGCTTCGCTGAGCTTTAGCATAGCAGAGCACAACATAGCATAGCATAGCGTAGCATAGCATAGCATATCATAGCATAGCCCAGTATAGCATAGCATAGCGCAGCATAGCATAGCATAGCATAGCACAGCACAGCACAGCATAGCACAGCGCAGCACAGCATATCATAGCATAGCCAAGCATAGCATAGCATACTGCAGCATAGCATATCATAGCATAGCATAGCATAGCATAGCATAGCATAGCGCAGCATAGCATAGCATAGCATAGCATAGCATAGCATAGCAACTAATGCTGCTTTCCTAGGGGCTCCAACTCCTAGGTAGGGTCGCACTGGGGTAATTCATTGGCACGGATCATGGAGGTGCCCTGGCACGCGTGGCGCACCTCGCGGGCGTCGCACACCCGTCTGGCTGCTGCAGCGGCTCCCGATGACTGTCGACGGAGGCCCCTGCCTGCGCTGAGACCCGAGTGCTTCCTGTTCGGTGGGAGGGCGGGCGGGAGTGGGCGAGATGGCCGTCCTTCGGAAGGGGGCCTGGTCACTGCTCCTTATCAATATACGTCCCCTCCCCCACCCGACCAGCGATGAAACCCGATGCCCTTCGGGACCCCAACCATCCCTAGCAAAAAAACGTTGCTAAGCGCACGCTGCTGCAAAATCTTGTCAGTTTCGGGAGGGGGCGGGGGCACGAGCACTTTGCAGTGTTGCTTGACAGGAACGGTAGGGGTGCCAGCATATGGCCTGCTGCGCGCAGGGCAACCATTCCGACCACAAGACAATACAAATTCAATTCCGCGGCTCATTCTGGATACTGCGCGGGCACCCCGCGATCACTTTGCACTGTTTTTTGACTGGGACGGCGGGGGTACTGGCATATTGCCTGCCGTGCGCAGGCCCACCAGGCACCATGATGGCCACCCCTATCGCGATTGTCACTGGTTTTCGTCAAGGCGGGTGGGGGCGGACATGGTTCCCGATGTGCGCGGGCGCACCTGGCACATTCTACGCGTGAACGTGGGTTACCTGGCGCGGCTTGAGTACGCGGCACACGTGGCGCACGTGAAGCACGTGGCGCACATGGCGCAGATGGCGCACCAGACGTGCCTGGCACCCTTGGGACCCAGGGGCATCTGGCGCTCCTGGTGCACATGGCTCGCCTGGTACGCGTGGCGCACCTCGCCCCAGCGTCACGCACCTGGGGTCTGTACGGGTTCCCAGTAACTACCCATCCAAAGACGACCGCTGAATATGCTGAGACTCGGGTACGACTTCTGTGTTGGGAGGGCGGGTGGGAGTAAACCAAAGAGTTTGCGTCTGGGAGATACCTCACTTCCCAAGGGTCTGGACGCGGAGTGGCGCTGGTAGTCAGAGCGTCCGAGAGGGCCCCAGATGCTGCATGATGGCCTCCAAGATGATCCAATGCACCGCAAGATCTCTCGAGATGGCATCCAACATGATCCAACAGGCCCCAAGACCGCTGCAAGACGGATCCAAGTGGACTCCGACTCTTCCTGGACACCCCTCGAGAAGCCAAAATGCTTCAGGCACCTCAGGAAAGCCATCGGCACCGGGATTTGCCTCGTCGTGGCTTCCCGTCCGACTGGTCTGTGCGAGGCCTTACGGTGGCCCCAAGGTGGCTCAAGAGCCCCCAGGACGACTGCTGTAGCGCCCAAGGGGCACCCAAGAGCGTCTCAAGAGGGCCCCAGGGGGTATGTTTTCAAGGGCTCCCAACTTCGCGCTTTCGCGCCGCCTCCCAGGGGAGGAGAGGAGAATGAGGGGGAATCGGAGCCGAACCGCGAAGCGCGAAGCGCGAATAACTTCGCGCCCTCGAGGGCGCCCTTGTGTTTTCGGCCTCGGAAGAGGGGCTAGGGGGGGTGACGCGCCCTCGTTCGCGAGCCGTCGTCTCCAAGACTGCCCAAAGAGCACTCCCGAGAAACCACAAGAGGCACAACAGCATGCCCCCAAAGGGGCCAAAAGAGCGTCCGGACTTGCTCCAAGATGGTCCCGAGAGGCCGCCAGGCGTGTTCCAAGAGGCTCGCGGAGCGAAAGCTCCGCGAAGGCTGTATGCTAGTTCGTATTATTCCTCTTCCTTCTCCTTCTCCTCCTCATCCTCGTCCCTCCTTCCATCCTCCTCCTCCTCCTCCTCCTCCTCGTTCTCTTCCTCCTCCTCCTCCTCCTCCTCCTCCTCCTCCTCCTCCTGCCCCGTGTTCTGTTCTTCATTCCTCCTCCTCCCCTTCTTGCCACAAATAGACGCCACCCCGCCGCGAGAGCCCAAGCAAAGGTACAAAGAGGCTCCCCGAAGTCTCTACCTTCATCTATTGTTGGCATCCCTGCTTCAACCCAGCTCACCTACGCCCCTCCTCCAGACAGCTCTTGTAAGCATCGCTCCTGCATGGGCTTGTGGGGATGCTAAATGCGTCAAGAACTCAAAATCGTATTCGGCCTCAGCGAGGGTACGGCTCACCCCGGAGAGGTCAGGGGACCCAGGGGGGACAACGTATCGCCAGTGATACCCCTGAACACACCCAAACCCCAGACACAACAGCACCCTACTCAGGTCTGGGTGCCACAATGCCTCGCAGCTGCCTCGTGCCAATCCGACTGCCATCTCGCATGCACGCCATAAGATCGTCAAAGATACCCAACCCACAACTTCGCATTGAGAAGGAACCTCGAACTGGTACCTTACACCGAGACTACCATGCAATGAGAGGGCATGCCATATTCTGGCGTGCCTCTGAGGGGCTTGCCTTACCTGGCCACAGGGTGCCACATGACAAAACGAACATCGATCTTGCTCTGATTCCGTGGAGAACCTCAGCACAGAGAGCACAGAGAAGTGTGAAAATCACCACAGCGTTTGCCCCGGAGACAAAAATTTGGAAGCGCGAGCGGCCTCGTCATGACAATCCCCAAATCCGAACCCGACGACCTTGGTGAAATCGACTGTGCATAGAAAACTACCAGGTTGTGGCACTTGACCCGAATCTTGACTGTGATACACGATCAACGGGTATTGCCATGTCCAAGTCTTGACATTCCCCCCGAAGGACGGACGGAACTATGAAAACAATCCTTGGTCCAATTGGCGGCAGACCCCTTCGAATAGCCAGATGCACAGTCGTACAGCTCAGTGGTGGTAGAAGCGGCAGCTAGTCTTACCTGAGGCGTACGGTCGACCTGCCGCTTGAAGCTCCAGGCCACGGCCAAGACGATCGCCAGCAACACGAGGCAAGACGCAGCCGCTGCGGTGCCGACCCAGAGATACTTGCGCGACCTGTACGTCTCAAAGAAAGGCCCCAGCGGATAGCCGACCTGCTGGTACACCGCGGGCCCCTCGCCTGTGTCGGCGGCGAGCCTGGGGAGGAAGGTGAGCAGCGGCGGGCCTTCTCAAAAGGCTCGGAAGCCCCGGCCTCTGAGAAGTTTGCGGAACCTTCCCCGAAGGCACCGCAAACTTCTCAGAAGTCCCAGCGCCTTCGGAGAAGGCCTTCTCCCTATCACTTCCCCCCCTCGCTCGCCACCAGCTGTGTACTCGGCGTGATGGTGCAACTCTGGCGGAACCATTGGCTGCTCCATCGCAGGCGGCGGGCTGTCCATGGCAACGCTCAGTCCCGTGAGGAGCCCCGCGGCAGAGGCACCGTTCGAAGTCCACCCGCTGGCGCGCGGTCTAACGCACCGGTGATCTTACATATAAAACCTCTGAGTGCGCTTCGAGCCGAAGTGGCTCCAGAATCTCGACCTCTGTCTCGTGCTTCTGCTGCGCGCTTCCAAGCATCCATCGTCGAACTGGCCCCGCACCTCCTTGCGTCACTTCCGACACGGCATCCGGAAGGAACCCTCGCCCCACCCCCGCACCCCTCCACATAATCCCCAAGCAGCGAGACGAGAAAGGGGAACAAGGAACGCTTTGATTTCAGATACCTTCCGCCTGAAGCCATTGCCAGAAAGGATCCCTTCACCTGTCAGCTTGGACCTCAGCCCGAGGGCGACCCGCTCTCGGGACGCAAGCAAGAAGACGGTGCCACGGGGGCGCTGCGGCACGATTTACATGCGAAACTTCGCCGCCTCAGTGAGACGAACCCGGGTCGAGCATCGTGCACAGTGAGGGGAAGGATTTCCTGCGCCCGTTGGGGGAGGCGCTCGGTCATGCAGAAGTCCTGCAACACCATGTGGCACCGTGCTCCCTCTGTAATTGTAAGCCGCATGGTTCTGCGCGCTGGGGTCGGCTAGAAATGGCCGTATGTTCCCGGTCATGGTAGGGGGCCACATGCGAACCCTACCCCTACCCCCCACGATTTCTGAGGGGGAGGGTGGGGTTCACTTCGTTCGGGAGCTCCCGAACGAAGTGAACCCCACCCTCCCCCTCAGAAATCGTGGGGGGTAGGGTTAGGGTTCGCATGTGGCCCCCTACATGGGGCTCTGCGCCCACTGCCTTGCGCGCGAACGCCTGGCCGCAGTTGGTCGCCAGGTCCTGCCCCAAAAAGCCAGCCAACGCTAGCACCTGGCCAACACATCCTGCGCCAGAAGAGCCCCGCGCCCACTGCCCTGCGCGCCAGGGCCCTGCAGTAATCAGCTGCAGGCTTCGCTGGGCACTACAGGGCAGTTTTTAATACATAGGGTTTTCTTAAGTATATGATTTTAATACATTACTAATTTACGGATGAATTGATGCATGAACTCATCGTTTTTAATACTAAAAGTCCCTGCATTTTGAGTACATGATTCGCACGCGGAGCATGTATTAAAAACAGCACTGTAGGTCCCCCCACGGGGTCACGAGGGTCCGCCGCAGTCAGGCATAGAGTCCCGCAAACGGGGTCCCGCTGGCCACGGGGCCCAACAGACACGGGGCCACGGGGCCACGGGGCATAGAGTCCTTAAGAGTCCACTGGGCAAAATTGGCGCTTCCAGTTCCGATCCGATCAGATTCCGCCATCAGTGCCCGCTGGCCATAGGATTCCACGGTCCCGCCAATGGAGTCCCATCCACTGCCTTGCGCACGAGGGTCCGTTCGCACTTGGCCACGGGGCCCAGCAGACAGGGTCCCGCGCCCGTGGCCCTGTCTGCGGAGGTCCGGCCACAGTTTGCCATCAGTGGCTGGCCGCTCGTCGGGTCATGGCCCCGGCTGCGCTGGGTGCACGACTGCGGCCGTGGGTGCAACAGCCAACTCGTGGCTGAAGGGGCCCAAGGACACACACACACACACACACATAAATACACACAAATAATAACAGGCTTCCCCGCATCTTCCCATAGTTTCGGGGTCTCTGTCTCTTCCCCCCCGCTTCCCACATTTTCCCATATTTTCTGGGGCGTCGACGATTAATTTCAAGTCGTGCGTGTCTCCCTACATGGGGATTTTCGATGAAAAATTTAAAAATACGCACAAAAAAAACAAAAAAAAAAAAAAAAAAAAAAAAAAAAAAAAAAAAAAACTCTAAAATGATCAAACAAATACTCAAAAATAGTCCCCTGACTATTTGTTTAGACTATCTTTGAAGATTCCCCCTGTCGAGGGACAGGCCCGACTTAAGAGTAATTGTGTCTGTGTGCGTGTGTCTTTTTCCCTTCCGCCCCTCCTCCTCCTCCTCCTCCTCCTCCTCCTCCTCCTCCTCCTCCTCCTCTTCCTCCTCCTCCTCCTCCCCCTCCTCCTCCTCCGCCTCCGCCTCCGCCTCCGCCTCCTCCTCGTCTTCCTCCTCCTCCTTTTCCTCCTCTTCCTCCTCCTCCTCCTCCGCCTCCTCCTCCTCCTGACCCTCGTTTTCATCTTCGTCGTCTTCAGGGTCGGCGGCACCAGCCGTAAGGCCTTCGCAATAGTCTCAAAAGGACGGCGGGAATGGCTCCGAGAAGCGTCGGACTCAGACAGGCGGGGCTCCCTGTGGCGCCACGATCCTCGCGAGGGGTGTGCCGAGCTGGGGCGGGCGGACGGCATCTGGATGCAAGACCCCTGGGGCTTAGTTGGCGCTCCTGGCGGGGGCACGAAACATGTCAAAGACGTGGTAACATGGACACGCGGAGAGCAGAGGAAGGAGGATGGGTGGGGGCAGGACGGAAGGAGATGCGGGGCGCTGCGGCTTCAAACGAGGACGCAAGCACACACAGGATGGCTGAGTGCAGGAACAAAATAGCACAGCGGGGGAAGAGGCGGCACGACAATGCAAAAGGTAAAAGGCAAGGGCAGGGAACAGCAATGCGAAGCGAAGCAGGACAATATTCA